AAAGGATTATTATGAATATGAAAATAAAGCATTTATTTATTATTGAAATTTACAGGTATGAATGAGTCGGACGAAGGTTCTGGCTTGGTTATTATGAATATGGAATTGGATAAAATAAGGCATTCGTTTATTATCAAAATTTATAGTATAGAATTGGATGAAAATAAGGCATTCAATTACTATCGAAATTTACAGGTATGAATGATTCAGACAAAGGGTTCAGGGCTTAGTTATTGTGAATATGGAATTAGATGAAAATAAGTTATTCATTTATTATCGAAATTTACAGGTATGAATTATTCAGATGGAGAGGAGTGTTCTGACTGGGTTATTGCAAGTATAGAATCGGAATTAGGAAGAATAAAAATAAGATCAAAATTTACAGGTATAAATGGTTATTGGGTAGAATTAGGAAGGATAAACATAAGGTATTTATTTATTGTCGGGACAGAGAATTTTGATTTGGTTATTATGAATATGGAATTGGATGAAGGTCATTTATTATTATTGAAATTTACAGGCATATGGAAGAGAATTCTGGCTTGATTATTATGACCTAGCCAACTATAGCAGATTGTTGATTTTGATCAACAGTATTAAATTTTTAAATAATTAATATATATGTAATCAATAGCATAATGATTTTTTATTATTTAAATATGAAGTTATTTATTTAATATTATAACACTTAAAAAGCACTATTTATATTGTAAATTTAAATTGTACAATCAAATTTTATTTAATTTGTATATTTAAAATTGACATTGATCTATAAAAAAACGAATTTTTAGTGTTCCTGCTTTATATTCCTTATTTGCTTTATCTTTAAATCCAATTACCCTCCATTCTACAATCATTTCTTCATTGGAAGATAATTTTTTTTTTTTTTTTTGCTGTAATTTGTTGTTTATTTCTATATCTTGGTTTTCTGAAGAATAAAGTCGAACAAAACTATATTGGCCATTACCATAATCATGTTGATACCATTGATTATTGTTAAAAATTAACCCAATTGTTTCAACAGCATTTTCTCCTCTAAAATTACAAAAGTAAAAGGAACCACATGGTGAATAACGTGTAATATAAGATCCAAATATACCCACAAAGGCATTTTCACTACAATGTATTGAAAATACTTGTTCTCCAATAGCACGGTAATGATTTTTGAGTTTTTTTTGCAATTCTTTAATTATAGCATTTTTTAAATGATCAAGTTCTGATTTTGGTATTTGTTGAATATGATTTGGCAATAAATTATATGATGCATGTTTTGAAGTTTCATGTCGTTGCAATCCAGAATAACTCTTATATCCTTTTTTAGATCGTGTACATATAGTACAGTAAAATCTTATAGAATCACGAACCATACTAAAAATTATTAAAATTATATTTTTAGCTTATATTTAATAAAAAAACAATTTAAAGTTTTCAAATAAATAAAGTAGCTATTTACAATTGAAATTGTATAGTCCTACACGTCTTGACAAAAGTTTGATAGGTTGAGCAGGTTTTTGATGGGTTGGTTGCAAGTTTTATATTAAATTAGTTTGTTTTGAAATGAAAAATTTTTATCTAATAAGAAATTTGGGGTACATATTTCTCATGTGACTATAAAAAAAAGGCTCAAAAATCAATTATGACTATATAAAAAAAGGCCCAAAAACTAAATCCACTGATATGGTAATCTTAAAAAACTTTCTTAACAAAGTTAGTAAAATAAAAGTTAAAAAATATATTTTACTTAGAAAGTATATTTTTAAAATTAATATTTAAAGTTTTATTTAAAATTAAATATAAAAGCAGGCAAATTTGCCTGCTAGACAATCTAAGGGATAGCTTTGCATATTCTGCATACTTTATTTCTTACAATATTTAGACTGTAATATTGTTTTTCTTTTTCTGAGATCCAAATTCCTAAGTATCTAACTATATCTTTGTCTTTTTTTATGAGAACTTTATCCTAATTCTTTTCTACTTTAATCGCTAGTACCTCTTTTTCTTTCCCTTTTTTCTTGGTATTCACAACTATTAGCTCTGACTTTTTACTATTTATTTCAATATTATTTATCTCATAGAATTTATTTAAAATATTTACTATTTTCTGTAGCTCATCTTTGGATCTTGCTATTCAAGTTGTGTTGTCTACATAAGCAAGCATAGCTTGTTGGTATACTAGTCTTTTAGTTTTGTTATAAGCTATATCTGTTGGCTAGTTTGTTGCTATCTGATATCTCATATCTTTTATACTATTTACTTACAGAGAAGTAGGTCATAAAAGATATACCAGACTAAAGGTAAGATTACTTCTTCTTGATCAAGTCTGTTTTTAGCTTCAAATTTATTTGTTAGTTCAAAGCTTGTAATTACTTTAATTCTTCTTTTCTTATACAAGCTTAATATGAGATTAATCATGTTTTCCAGAAGCTTAATTCTTTTTAAGGCTTTTTCTAGTATTTTTAAGTCTACAGAGTCAAATGCTTTCTGCATGACTTAAAATAAGATCTATAACTCATAGTTTTTTTGTCTTGCATCCTCAAGCAAATTGTTCATTATATAAATTAGGCTCATTATGCTATTATCTGAAAACCTAGCAAAATTAGAATCTTCTAAAATATTGAAGTCTACTAGAGTTTTGTCTAGTCTATGTGTTAGAACTCTTATTACTATTTTGTGAAAAGTTTTGATTAAAACAATTGAACAAGTATTAGACAAATTATAATTTCAATTCTTTTCTTTAGGTATTGAATAAAGTTAGCTAAGCTTCTATTTAGATAGGATTTCTTCTTCTCTGATACAAAGATTAGTAAGATGTTTAAATATTTTTTATGCTATTATATTTGCTTTTTTTATGAATAAATAGCTTATACTGAATAGACTTTATGCAGACTTAGGCTTTGTTTTTTCAAGTGCCTTTAACTATTCTTCTTCTGAGATCTCATCTTTTAAACTATTATATATTTTGCTGTCTACCTTTTTTAGTAGATTATATACTTTTTTTTCACCTAATTGGCATATCTGAAGTATAGGTATTTCTTTTATGGAATTGCTTTTTAAAATAGTTTTTCATTTCCTTTAGTACTTCTTCTTTTTGGTTTGCTAGTACTATGTCTGAGTTGTCCTCCTTAACAATTCTGTTTATAACTACTCATTTAGAAGATCTTTCAAGTAAGCTGTTTATCATATATTTGAGTTCTTCTTGTATTGATTCATAGTGTTATTCAACTACTATATTAATTTCTTCAAGATCTTCTTTTTTTTTTGCTTGCTAAACTTTTAAATATATAATCTTCCACTACCCCTTTAGCTTTTCATATCTTTTTTTAGTTCATATGCTTTCAGAGAGCTCTTCTATTTCTGTTTTATACAGACTATTTATTCTTGCTATTTTTGTATTCATTAAGTGCTTATTTATACTATCAATATACTGACCTTTTTCAATAAGCATTATTGATATATGCTTCTGATTATCTTTAGATCTTTCTTAATATTTTTGCTCTTTTTCTTTTTTTCTGGAATAGGTTTTCCTACTATAGACTTCTTTCCTGTGAGAGTTAATCTTGCATACTTGATTATACTTATTGTGATTATAACTACAAGTTATCTTTGTTTAAAGCTAGATTATACTCAACTTTATAATATTCAGCTTCTTTTTAAGTAGACTATCTAGTTTTGTTTTATAATTCTCTTAGTTTTCTTCTATTGCTTTGTCAAGAAAGAATAACTATTTTTTTCCTTTTATTCTTTTTTTACAAGTTTGAGATCTAGTTTTCTTTATTATACTTGTTAGCATTTTTGCGATTACAATAGCATAGTCACTATTTGTAACTATATCTACTTCTAGTATAATATAATAGATGAGGTCTTGGCCTAGATCCTTAGATATCTAAGTATAGTCAATTCTAGACTTTACTTGATTATTTTCTCTTGTGAATTTTCTTTCGTAAGAGTGTAGTTTTCTGAATATATTAATCATATTAGAGTTTTCAAGCCAGTTTAGAAGTAGAAGTTTTTGAGTTTGTCTTGAGTTTTCTCTGCTCTGATCTAGCTCTCTATATTGAATATCATTAAAGTCTTCTAGTATTATGACTTTCGTAGCTTTTTCTTTACTTTGATATTCAAATATTCTTTTAATAACTTGTTGCTAAATATCTTTTCTAATCTTAGAATTATTTTGTGATATATATATTACTAAGACTAGTACTTTATGACTTTTGAATACAAAAAGTGTTTTTAGATAATATGCATTTCTTCTTTTCACTTAGTTTAAATGTCTTTTCTATTTTTTGCAAATTATTAGACTGACACTAGAACCTTTTTTCTTGTTTTCTTCTGTATTAGACTATATACTCATATAATTATCTTGATCCTTTAAATTAAAATTGTTTTGTCTACCTGTTGTGTTTGTTTTATTAATTCTAATTATATCAATATTTTCTTTGTTTGCCTAGTCTAATAATAACTCCAATTTCATAAAGTTTCCTTTTATTCTATTAATATTATATAATGCTACTTTTAACATTTAAAAATCCTCTATTACAACTTCTTTTTCCTTCCTTTCAGAAGGATTTCTTGTATTAAAACAGTTAGCTTTACTATCTATTTCTATTAATTTAACTGGTACATCTGTTAGAAGCAATTTAGAGCTTCTTACTTCATATGTTAAATTTTTTCTTCGAGGCTTCATATGAGTTGTAGCATGTAATCATAAGTATTTTCTGAACCTAAAATCTGTTTTTAGGATACTAGTATACTACTAGATACTTCATAATTAACTTTTTTCTTTTTGCCTTCTCATATTTCTCTTCTCTTTTTCTCAGAATAAATACTTGTCTATATAGTTTTTCCCATTTGCTCTATACTATTTGATATTTTTTTTTCACTTAGAGTAAGTCTTCTAGAAACTTCTTGGTTTTGTTTTTTATTTATTTAATTAATAAGATTTTTTTATTGTTTTGCAATAGTTTTTTCTGGATTCTTAAGTTCTTCTAATCAACCACTGCCTCTAAAATAATGATGTCTTCTACTTACTGTGAGCCATTTTTAGAGAAGAATATAGTAAGTAAACAGGTAGGAAAGTCTATTTATGCGAAGGATCAAGATTATAACAGTCAAACTCAACATACAGAGCAGACTATGAAACCCTTCGCAACTGTGAGAACTAGGTATACAGTGAGTACATTTACAGAAGTCTCTTAACATTCCTTAGTTTCCACTACTTCAACTCCTACTGAGGAACAAACATGCTTCAACAAATTCTTTTCTTTTTATAATATACCACTACTAAATAGTCCTCAAACATTTGGATCAGTTATTCAACATCTTGACTATAACAATTTCTTATAACTTACAAAATATCTATCAATTCTTCTAAAACAGAAATCTATATATATATTAATAATAATGAAAACTTACTCTCTAATCATACCTTAATTCAAACTCATGAACAACAACAATACTACAACTTACCAATACGATCTACTAACAACAATTCCTCTTCTAATCCTTTAGTATCTAACAATACTTCAAATTTAGATTCTCTAAAAATTTGCTCTCTAAATACAAATGGCCTTAGCTCCTATTCAAAACAAACTCTTATCTACAACTTTATTATCAAATCTAATACTCAGATTTTTGGTCTTTCTGAAACACATCTCAAAACAAAGGATGCAAAGTTCTTAGAACTTACTAAAAATCTATCAAACTATAAAAATTACTGAAGTGAGTTACCAAACTCTAGACAAGGAGATGTAGAAATTTATATCCATAACAATATCTCAAAATTAATAAGCAAAGTCTATGAATACAAGGGCTATATTCTATCTATAGACTTCTCATTTCAACTTTCTCCTATTCGATTAATACAAATTTACTTTCCTACACAAGAAAAACATAAACTAAAAAAAGAAATACTTGATCAAATAACTTTATTAATTCAAAGTACTAACAAAAAAATTATTCTTATGGAAGACTTAAACTCTACACCAAATCCCAAAATAGATCACCTTCTTCCAAAAAAATCATATCTTCCAGAATCTCAACTTATCAAATTCCTTAAACCAAACTTCTATGATACATACAGACTATTCCACTTAGATGCAAACAAATACAGCTGCTATCACAAAAACTGTTATAGTAGAATAGATCAAATATGGACAAATCTTCATATTACTCTATTAGACTACACAGATATTCTTGATACTGCTCCTATTGATTTGGATCATAATATAATTCTCCTTGAAATCAACTTTTCTTTAACACAAATTCAAAATCACAAACAACCAACTCGAATCAAATACTTATGGAAAATAGTACCAACTAACAAATAGCTCAATACCAAAACTATACAAATGAAAACTTCAAAAAAATT